GTAAGCAGAAGGCTCAACTCCGGTTTGAAGTCAATTTTAGATTCTCACTCATTTCTCTTAGGTGAATATCTAGAACATCATAGCAATTGGAAAAAACGCTTGAATTACAACTTAGAGTTCTGCAACTCGCACAAGAAGAGTGGATTTCACACATTTGGAAATCGCTTTTTTTTTCGCACTCCTTCAGAAATAAGTGGGTTTTTCAATTTTTTCAAGTTGCTCTTTAGCTTAATCATTAACTCAAATCTAGACAATTCCGAAGATATACTTAGGTTATGAAGGAAACTTTACTGTTCGCTGTACCAGCCAGAAATTAATATGCTTCACGCTTGAGGCTTTTCACGTGTCTTTCGCCGGGGCCCCCCAAATTCAGAGAGACCACTTGATAGTGTGAATTCTGTTGATTCCAGTGATGTAATTGGTTTTTCAAAAGGACTTCTTAGTGAGCTGTAATAGGTTAAAGCGCGCAATGCAACAACGGCCCCTGGCCAACACGCATTGCCGGTATGTGGATGGGATTTTGCAATAGTGGCCTCTGGCTGACGAGCCATCTCAGCATTCCCAACATTAATTAGTAATTAGTCAGCCCAGGTCATATGGACATGTAGAAACAATTATGGAGCGTCGGAGAGATCTCTGATTTTCTTCAAAAAATCTACATGTGGTTTTGCTCACTGAGTGTGAAATCCAATACTCTTTCGGCCGTTACAGAGCTCGAAGAAGTACTTTTCGAAAGCCAAGTACACCATTATGATCGGAAAGATTTGCTCTATCTAACGATTGAAGTTCATTGAAACAAAACTTTATCAAGTGATAAACTTTAAATGAGGGACAAAATCATAGTTTGACTGGTGCGGCGCCAAAAATGTGCTATCTCAGAAATTAAGCATGCTATTGAAATTCACTTAATTTGCTTATCGATGAACTACATAAACGTTTTGCAAAAAAAACGATTCTATCGAAGGCCCCAAGTGGCGCCGCCAATGGAACAGTACCGAGGCAACTAAGATTAAATACAATAAAGAGAAAATGGCCTGTGAACCTGAAGACATCAATCTGGCTAAAATAGATAATTTGGCTAACAGTGGTGTTTCTGCTTGTAATCGACAAAATTTGAATTCAAATTTAGCCAGTGAAAAACCCTTAGAAAATTTATCTTCAAATCTTCAAATCTTCAGATCTTGGAGATATAACAGTGTTCAGATTTTAGAAAAGAGCTGGACAACAATTATCAGATTGGAAGAAAAGTCTTCAGCCCATTGAAAATCCAATCAGGCAACCGTAATCCTCAAATGTTGACTGCCGCATTACCACACCCTTATTCCTAGATCTTTAACAGCTGCATTACTGAATCTTTCAGCCAGAATGAAAAAGCCATGTAAAGACATAAGACTATAATCTTTTTTCTTGAACCAAGTAAAGGCATTATACTACTCGAACGATATTTAGCTCGTTTAGATAGCGTGCATTCTGCTAATTGCACGCCTACTTTGCTGCCCGGAAAACGATTTCAAGGAGGTTTTCAGCAATTATCCGATAGCTTAAGAAGCTACAAATTCAATAAAATGTTTTCTTTTCGAAAGGACCTACCTACTGCGCCTTAATGTGTTTGTTTCAGAATGTTATGTTTCACCCCTGATTTCCGTTTTACACTCAGCCGTTGTCCGTGCTTGTTTTTACTTAACTTTTGAAACTCATGCAATGCACATTTCGGTAATTTTTGAGCTAAATTAAATGCCTAGAAAGTCTCTGCAGAGCATTATGAGCGAAACATTCAAGTCATGTATGCGTACAAAAGTTCTTTATGCAACTTGGAAGCATATAAGAAATCACGGTTTTCACAGTAACACGAAATTTTTTTCAAGGAGGGAGGGAAAAGCCCTAGATGAATGACAAAAATCGCTTGTACACAACGATCTGCTGCCGTCAAAACATGTGAGCTTTTGAGCACTACACAATACATAATTGAGCAGTAAATTCCAAGCTACTGCTTACGTCATTCTGGTCTTCTACCATATTTACAGCATTGCTATTTGAGCACGTTAAGTGATCTTGTTTACAATGTGTTATATACCAGCAAATAAAAAGCTTCCACCATTACTGATTCACCTTTTGAATCCAAAGTCTAGGTCGAAAGCTCTTAATCAGATATGGAATAGTAACGGACCAAACTTACAGCTTCTTCGATTCGCTTCTTCTTCAAGCTTTACGATCATGTTATTAGGAACTAATGATACTTTTTCGTTATTCGTAGACCGTTTCGGCTTCTTGAGAAAAGCGCAGTTCTTTGGCTCTCTCAAAATTTTAGCAATCGTTCTATCAAAAATTTAAATGGTATGTTTTATACTCGAGAATTCTAGTATTTTTACCGCTTCCTTCCGCAGTGTTATAGTGTTATAGTGTTCCATATACACTTAAGCGGATTGAGTGGTAAGCAAAAATGCGACCTCAGAAGGGAGTCGAGCCCGCGTTTCATCCATACCAAGGACGTGTGTTGCAGCTACACCACAAAGGCACATTTTCACCACCACTCGTTCTTCAACATCTCTAGGTATGTTTTGTTTTGAAAATGCCTCCATCATCATCAGCAAGAATGAGATTTTGTCACCCATTTAACCTTTTCTTGCTGAACAAAGCTCTTTTTTTAGACTTATGATAAATATTCAATAGATCAAACTCAAAGAATCCAATAATGCAATTGTTCTGAGAAAATAAAACTTTTTATCGCGCTATAGCAGCCTGAAAAGATTGCCTTTCGCTAACTCACATAACTATCGTCATTAGCAACCTTTCTTGATTTCAGAAAAAGACACCTTATACTTTTCTCTCAATTTCTACCAATCATCTTATAGTGCATATACCAAAAGTTTCAATAGTCTGATTTATTTTGAAATGGCCTTATTATTGGACTTTAACAGTAAAAACAAATTATGTTACTCACTGAAATACTTCTCACTGAACAAAGGTTTTTTAATTCAAACTTTTGATCATTCCATAGTTTAAATCTCGCCGACTACAATAATGTGTTTGGCTTTTGAGAAAGACTTTGTAATGCGCTGTAGCAGCCAAAAGAATACTAAGTTTTGAGTAACGCAACATCGACTCAAACCATGTGGATAGGAGTTTCAAAACATGTTCGCTGAGCTAGCTTTTCCAAAACCGAATTCGCGAGACCCACTGTTCTTTTGATTGTACAGCGCAACGCTACTAAACAGAGCGACGAAAGCAGAAAAATCTTTATAGATCGCAAAGAATTCCAACAGACTTATGACTTGCAAGCAGTGGTCAATAACCAGATGACAACTAAGTACATTTGGTAGATTATAGAAGAATAAAAGCAAATTACAACGAATGGACTGTCAAGTGTGTGCAAAAACTAATAAGAGTAGATGAGAATTTCTCATTTCGTTATACAGATTCACGCTTGCGAGTGTGATGTAGGAAAAATTCTACTTAGCTGACACTTTTACTTTATTTTTGACACTTTACTGATCCATGATCACAGCGTTTCGTTCTTCATGGGTGGAAACCAGTAATTCGAGCATTCGTTCGATTTTAATCTTCTTTTTGAACGTCGTAGAAAACCGGTTGAGCACATCTCCTACAGTCTCGTGAGAGCCTGGCTGTGGCGTTCCATAGGACATTCGTTGTTGACCGTCGGAAAGTCTTGGGACGGTGCTATCTCGCATGCGCCGCGACGAGCATCACAGCCATTTGGCCTCAGCACACCCCGGTATTTTTATATGAAATATGATAATATCAAATATGTCACAAAAGACGTCGAAGACAAAACCGCTGCGCATATTTTTCCAGTGAATTAAAATAAATACGTTAAATGATAATCGCAGTAATACTGTTGACCGTCACTTTTTGAATATGAAATCGCAAGCATGTTCTTTTTCAAACTTCTTCGGAGCTTTTTTTTGTATCACCTTTGCATCCACATCAGTGATTGTCCAATTACTTTCGATGTGGAGGTATATCTAACAATACAGCGAGCGCTACACATAATAAGAGAAAGCACCGTCGAGTTGCCAGTGCTCGGAAATACTCTATTGAAATATTGCTGTAAACAGTTAGAAGTCTTTTGTTAAGTCCGATCGTGTGTTGCTTAATACCGCTCAGTTATGCGCGAGACTTTTCTAAATAATGTGACTATGAAGAAGCATTATTGCCTCAAAGACCTCAAAGAGCTTACATGTGTGTGATTTTGAGTATTAAGAAAATTGAATCAGTAAGGAATCGCTGTCGCTATGGATTCCTCTTGTAGAAAAGGCCGATCTGCGAGAGGTAAATTGCTTCTCTAGAAAATCGCCTCACTGAAGTTGCAGAAATTTCTTGTTACACTATTTTCTGATCCTCCTCGGAAAGTTAGGAATGTCTGGCTTGTATCGTGTTATGAATGTCGAGAAATATCCTTCAGTCAAAACTTAATTCGCAGGTTAACATAATCACCTAAATGGATATTGGATATCAAAAACACGAGCCTGATGGGAAAATATTAGAGTTCAGTGATCATTCGCAAAACAAACCATTATTAATCGACCTGGTAAGTAATCTTCTCCGAATTATTCACGATGCGTTCACATGGCTCCTTCTATGATGCAAAGGATCAAGCAAAGATAAAGGAGCTTCCAACAACGTAGGTCGATGTTTACACAATTTATTGGATCTATTTGACATATTCTTTCGAAGAGCTAATTTGAATACATTTGAAAAGAGAAGATGGTCAACTTCTGAGAGCTTATCAACCTTCCATCCAAGTATTTGTGCTCTGAAAGTTTTACAACGCAGAGATAAACTGACAAAATTTTGGTAAATGTGAAGTATTATTCCGTTTGATCATCACAATACCCGCTTTCTGCGAATGCGCGACGGTCTCGAATTTCGTTTCTATGGAGTTCTGATAAAGTCTTGCGTGATCCCTCAAAGGCTATGCCAAGTTCATAATGAACTATTGGGACAACTTTTCATGAGAATTGAGTGGTGGGCAGAAACACGGCCTCAGGCGGGAATCAAACCCGCTTTTCATGCTATCCGAGGACACATGCTCTACCGCTACACCACCAAGGCACATTTGCTCGGCCAATCATTCTTGAACATCGCTATGTTATAGCAACAATTCAAAGTTCGACTGTCTATAAACCTCGGCGTAATTAACATATATAGGAAAATCGAGAAAACTTATCTCGATTAGCTGAAGCGAGGTTGGTAAATTAGTCGAGGATAATTCGGTTAACGTTTCGGCGACCCGCCTTCTTCAGAGCCTGGGCGTATGTAGTATTAGTCTCTGCAGAGACTCTGTAGAGACTGGTATTACATGCGCCCAGGCTCTGAAGGCGGGTCGCCGAAACGTTAACCGAATTGCTACGACTAATTTACCAACCTCGCTTCTTTTCATATGTCTCTATGTTAGCTATCAGCCACCAACCTTAATAAGTTTGGTCAGGTATGCGATTTCGCTTTATAAACCCAGTTGAGCTGACAGCCACTGTTAGATTTAATACTCCAAAATTCTAGCATTTTTTACTGCTTTTTAGGCAGTGTTATGATGTTACATATATTCCTAAGAGAATTGAGTGATAGAGATGTTGAAGAATGAGTGGTCGGACAAATGTGCCTCGGTGGTGTAGTGATAGAGCACGCGTTCCTGGATAGGTGAAACACGGGTTCAATTCCCTCTTGAGGCCGTGAAAAACATTTATGAAAAAATTCAGTAAAAACTGCAAAGGAAATGAAAACACATAAGGCAATTTCATTAAAATTCTGTAATAATGATATTTGTAACGTTTTTTTTGAGATCCATCCAATGGCGTACCTCTCAATCACAGCGTTGCAGCCTTGAAGTCAGTTCTGACTTAGTAATCATTAATTAGCTCTGACGCAGTAAATCTGTTTGTTGAGATCATAACCTATCTTCGACTTGCAGATGGGAATAGAGCTTGACAAGGGCATGAAAGGCTCAAAAATCGCCTCATAAGCTTAACACCGCATATGCGTACAATATACTAAACGCGACGTTCTCTTTGATTAACTGAATTGCTAGTTTGGATGTCATATCATCGATATTGTGTAAAAAAACTCAAGTTTCCTAGCACCCAACGGTACTTTTTTGAGTATAAAAGCTCACTGATTCTATCGTATTCATCCCATTGAGGAGTATGAGCGGCCATTCGACCCCTCAAATTTCCAGAGGTCTTTTTTCGTTGTACAAATTTTTTATCTAGAACCTTAGCAGTCGCTCAAGAGCTTATCTCGGCGGTTTCAAAACTATGTTTGTTTTCTGAAAAGGACTTTTAATACGCTGTCGAAGCAAAATTAAATTTAGTTTCACACTCGATTGCTGTGTTCGCTAGGCCAAGATCTAGAACGCTGTTTATTAGACTATACTATTACTCATTCGATAGCACAAATTCCGACAGCTTCCAGGCTAAATTTCCTAATGAGAAGGTCTTCATAGTACCCCGTAAGAGCAAAAATAAAATTGCAATGCACATTCGGAGTTTTCTTTGCAGGCTAGAGTTATATATGCAAAAAAGTATAGAAACGTGTAGAAGAAATCATGTTTCATCAGAGTAGTATAAAAATTTATTATTTACTTAGAAAATAAGGAAAAGTCCTCACTAAATAGTGAAAATCGCGCGCTGCTGGCTAAATCTATTATGCGGCCGTCCAAAAAGGGTTAATTTGCAGTGTTAGGAGAATATTTGAAAAGTCGGCATTTATACAGTTTATGGCTTTCTCAAAGATAAAACAAAAGGTACTGATCATTCCCTGACAGGTGTGCTATGCATTCGAAACACTTTCCTTTCGTAGAAGTCGAGGTATTTTATTTTTATCAAATCTAGCTAGATAGAGCAAGCCTTTCATAACAAGCTTGTCCACATCACCTAGCGGTATTTGTGATCTCAGAAAAAATTATAATTGTGTATCAGTTGATAGAATCTATGCGCTCAGAATAACTTCACGTTGAAAAAATCGTGGTTTGTGCCCTAATGGTGTAAGTGGCACTAGCTGAGGGGAAAATTTCCTCAACACTCTCTGGAAACTCGAAATCTATTCATAAGCTCTTTCTAAACCAGCAGTAATTGTTCTTCAAATTACCATCATTATCCACGTCAGCGAGATTGTGCCAAGAAAATAAAATCCTGCCAATACGACCAACTGCGGAAAAGATGACTACCATTCCACAAGCCGTCGTCGACAGAAAACTGGTTCCACAGTTCATAACGGCCACAGCTGACTACTATACGCAACATCAACAGGAAACTCTAACTTCTTAATCGACCATGCGTATTACTTCCATAGACAGTGGACTATGACAGAACGATCTTCTCTCTTATGCTAGTGGAGTTGATAAGAACTTATGAACTATGATGCTGCTTGAAACTATACTCTGATACCCATTTTCAGAGAAAGGATTTGAGAAATTGTCTCTATGACTCAAGTACAGGAAGCTGTGGAGTGGCGTCAGTCATGCGGCAAGAGATTCGACAACAGACGGTCGAGAACTGAAACACTAATATGGTGCATGGCAGGGCACGTATGTTTTAACAGAAGCGGCTACCTACGTAATTCATGTCAACCAAATGTTCATATAATCAAAGAATTTATGGTTTACTGCGGGCTACTTGGTGACGCCATTAGCATTTTTTGAAAAGACAGTCTCCTGGGAAGACAACCACGAAAGCAAGGGAAGTCTATGTTAAAATGGCTCACAGATTCGCACGTTTGATCTTTTCAATGAAAAAGTCAAGGAACTGGCTGATCAACTTGAATACACTTTGAGCATGATGCCATCTCAAAACAGATTCAAAACGCGCTGGTAGCACGTTGGGCATAACAATAACACGTGCGATCGACCGTGTTTGAAGCGTTCGAGACGTATCTCATAATTATTATTTAAGTCAACATGTCATGTAGTCTGTTAAATGGGCTAACTTATAGAGCCCGATAGACGTGTTTTAACCTTGACAGTCTCGTCAGTAGGACGGTACGCCTCGTCTTTTGCCAATCTTCTCGGGGCGCTCAGTTCCTTGTACTGTGATTAGGCGACGCCAAACATTTTAATCGTCTGTCAACTGAAATTATCACTGAATGAGCAGTGTTGTATACTTGACTGCTCTTGGCTGGTATCGTCAATATGTCATAAGCTTACCCTATAACAGACCACATGTTATGTTGGCTCGAATAATAATCATGAGATATGCTGAAATTTGAGCTTGGTCTTAAGAAAACACTTGAAACGGAAGGTATGACAAGGACGTATTCATTTTTAATGATTCAAAAATAGCACATTAATCCGATCTCACCTCAAAGCAAAGAACATTAATTGTCGACAGCATCGTTGTGGGGAATTAGCTATTAGGCTGCTCAATTATTTTATTTGCTTTGGGTACGAGAGGATCACGGCGCCAACCCTACCCTGCCCAGCGTGCTGTGAGCAGATCATTGTGCTAAATGCTTAGTGATGCCGGATTTCGGAAAAAAGGTTGTTGGCTTAATCTTCTTATGGCGCTCTTCAACAGTCTATTTTTGCTCCAGTTCAGTATGCACAATATCACTACACAGCATATCTCATATCTAAACACCTCAACACAATCTATTCAATTACAGTATTTATTCAAGAAGTAGTAAAGAAGTAATAATTGAGCGTTTATTTTTGCATAATAGAGTAGTAGTACTAATAGCTCTACTGACGTTTCGGCGATCTAACTTCTTCAGAGCCTGAAGGTCGTGATATTAGAGTATTTGAATAATTCAGAGATTCTTTCATATACCGCCTAGGTCAGGTTGAAAGGTCAAACGAAGAAAAGGCGCGAGGACTCGTGTGATGGTGACGCATTCGTCCTTCTGGTTCATTTTGAGGTTTCTAGGATCCATGCAAAATGCCTCAAGAGTTTTGGGCATGAATGTTTTTGATTCCTGCGCTAGGATTGTGACAGTCACATCAATATTCTTGTTGTTGTGCTTTCGTGCCCTATGCAAACCTGGAGGTTTGGTTTTATCCACTTTAGATTTACTATCTAGACGTTCTTTCATGCGGATGAAAAGTGATCTACCCGCCTCGCCTTTATATTCTTCCCCGTATGTTTTACATGTTAGCATATAAATTGTGCGCGATCTCATACAATCCCCCTCTTTTCCGTTAGGGCAGATCATACAGATTTTAGTGTTGCACAATCGATCTTAAAGTCTATTGCGGATCAGCTATAGCGTAGGGTGGAAGGTGGGATTTCGATAACTACCACGGAATTTTCAAGACCGCATCTTTTTAGGCACTTTTTGACCACGCTACTAATTTCGTTTGATATAAATGGCAGTTTGAAGGGAACTTTAGTCAGGTGCGGAGTTTTGTTCTTTCGGGACCTAATTCCACTTTTTGAATATTTTCAAGTAGCGAATGTTTTTAGCCGTTGGAAATGGCAGTTTTCGTGCCAAGTTTGGCGATTCGTTCCTTTCCTCTTCTCCTGTGCACACATTTTTAGCCGTTCGAAACATGTTTTTAATTAACGATTTTTTCAAGTTTAAAGGATGAGAGGAAAGATGATTGACCAAAATGTTTTTATTTCTTAGTTTTCGGCACCATTTTGTACTATACCCACTATCTAAAAGCTTTACTTGGATGTTTAAGAATGGAGGCCAGCTCCCGTTTGGACTCTCTCGCGTATTATATGCTCTGACTGTCCGTTCAAGACTTCAAAACACTTGTCCATTTCCTCTTGTGTGAAACAGACAACGAAGCAGTCGTCTATATACCGGCAGTAGAGCAATGGACGGTGAGCAAGAACTGGAGCTTTCACCTTATACATAAAAGCAATGGCAAGACTACGTGCCAAACGTTAAACCATGGCTAGACCCCTGAGCTGTGTGAAGTGATTACGCGAGCACCGAAAGACTGAACAACTAAGACATTGTTTTGGGAGTGTCATTAGTTGTTGAACTGAGAAGCCATACATATTTACTTTTTGTTCATTTTCAGTTAAAAGTTCAAAAATGGCTTGCATTGCAGAGTCATTTGATACGTTTGTATAGAGTGAGGTAACATTAGTCCAAGCGTTTTCGTAGCCCGGTTAGCTCAGTCGGTAGAGCACCAGACTCTTAATCTGGCTGTCGCGGGTTCGAGCCCCGCATCGGGCTTACTTTTTGACGCCGCTTGGCCAGAAATACTTGGCCGCTTGGCTTTACAAGGTTTGTGGTCAGCAACAGCAATAAGCGCAGATTTTCTCTCTTCCATTCATTTCTGGCCGGCCTGTTGCCTCAGCCGGTAGATCACCGCGCTGTCCAGGATTGGCACAGCGCATTTGGCATATTTTTTAGTGTGATTTTGTCACAAATAATCTGTAAAATTCAGAGCCAGCAACGAATGTAATTCTTTTGTCGTTCATTCACTGCTGTCCATTCCGCTTATTTTACTTAAAAGAGCAAAAGGCTGTCTCAAGTTCGAGCTCCACAATGGGCTTCTGTTTATGTGATTTCGTCGGAAATATTTTGAAGAATTATTGACAAGCAGCAAGTGCAGCTCTTGCTTCCTATAACAAACCTCTCAAGGGAGTTTTTGCTATCTTTTCGGGAATTGCATGATAATTTAAGTAGCGCAGATGGTCCATGACCTGAGAGAGCAAGTGGTGTCGCAGAGGGTTTGAGGACATTAGACAGAAAATGGTTAAAGTGGCGAAGGCGTTCGTGAGCTTTATAAGGATTTCACTACCAAAAAATCTCCATTCTACAACAGTATCACCATTAACGTAAGAAGAGGGGTTTTGACAAGGCGATACAATTTCGCCAAAACTATTCACTGCCACCCTACAAAACGTCATGCGACGTTAGAATGGTACTACATGAGAGTGAAAACTGACGGTCGGCAATTAAACCGTTTTCGCTTTGCTGACGATATCGTTCTCATAACACCGACATCAGTGAAGCGGAACGAATGTTGAACGATTTCGATAACGCCTGTGGAAAGATTAGTCTTCAACTAAATCTAACAAAAACAATGTTGATGAGGAACGGATGGGTTTGAATGCCCCATTCACGCTCAACGGAACGGCATACTCCGAATGCACCAGTTACGTCTATCTAGGTCGTGAAATCAACATGATGGACGAACTGGTTCTAGAGTTGAGCAGGAGGAAACGAGCGGCTTGGGGAACGTTTGAGAGCATCGATGATGTAGTGAAGAGGACAAAGAACATCCGACTCCGTGCCCACCTTTTCGACTCGACAATTGTCCCTGCCCTAACGTATGCAGCAGAAACCTGGTAGCTACGTAAGCAGGATGAAAAATCAATCGGAATTATCTAACGCACAGTCGAAAGGTCGATGTTAGGAGTATGTCTTATCTCGCAAATGAGAGAAAGGATCCGATGCTCCGACCTACGTCAACGATCGAAAATCAGAGACGCCGTTCTACACGCCAGGATATCGAAAATAAGGTGGGTCGGACACGTGATGCGCTTCAACGACAATCGATGGACGAGAGCCGTAACCGACAGGATTCGTCGGGACGTCAGCGCTCTAAAGGATGACTACTGACCCGTTGGTCCGATTTCTTCACGAAAGGGATAGAAGAAAGATATGATGCTCAGCGAATCTCTAGAGCGAGGAGGATCCACTGGGCTACTCTTGCACGCGATAGGAAAAAATGGAAGAGTTGCTGGTACCCGCTCGAGTCACTCGACGGTCAGCGTTACGACAGGTGATAAATATATATATTCTTATGTAGTTCTTATGTTATTAGTTCTTATGTAGTTCTTTTGTTATTGTTACAGCAATGTATGTATATTAAAGGTTCCTTGGCTTCACCACATTGGTGCATTGGGCGGGAATCGAACTCGGGTCGCCCGCGTGGCAGGAGAGCATTCTACCTTTGAACCACCAATGCATTAGGTGAGTATAAAGTGCTAGCAGTAGGGTCACTAACTGATTATATATAGGCAGAATCCCTTAAACCGCGGTGATGGGGCGACCATAGCCTGAGTTTGCTCCGACACGTTAGTGATATATTCCGCTCACAACTCTACTGAGTTTATCTGACAGTTGTATGAACTCAACCTTATGATAGCAATTAGTTATGCGATAACGAGAATGTGTGAAGAGAGCAATAATGAGCCGACAATGAACTGAGGTGAGGGGGTCCGGGTTATTTCAGACGACCGTTCGGATGATGCCCGGCGATGCGAACTGCCTGTTGTGGTTGATGGCCGCTAGGTGCCGCCCTCGCCACTTTAACCATTTTCTGTCTAATGTCCTCAAACCCTCTGCGACACCACTTGCTCTCTCAGGTCATGGACCATCTGCGTTACTTAAATTATCATGCAATTCCCGAAAAGATAGCAAAACTCCCTTGAGAGGTTTGTTATAGGAAGCAAGAGCTGCACTTGCTGCTTGTCAATAATTCTTCAAAATATTTCCGACGAAATCACATAAACAGAAGCCCATTGTGGAGCTCGAACTTGAGACAGCCTTTTGCTCTTTTAAGTAAAATAAGCGGAATGGACAGCAGTGAATGAACGACAAAAGAATTACATTCGTTGCTGGCTCTGAATTTTACAGATTATTTGTGACAAAATCACACTAAAAAATATGCCAAATGCGCTGTGCCAATCCTGGACAGCGCGGTGATCTACCGGCTGAGGCAACAGGCCGGCCAGAAATGAATGGAAGAGAGAAAATCTGCGCTTATTGCTGTTGCTGACCACAAACCTTGTAAAGCCAAGCGGCCAAGTATTTCTGGCCAAGCGGCGTCAAAAAGTAAGCCCGATGCGGGGCTCGAACCCGCGACAGCCAGATTAAGAGTCTGGTGCTCTACCGACTGAGCTAACCGGGCTACGAAAACGCTTGGACTAATGTTACCTCACTCTATACAAAACGTATCAAATGACTCTGCAATGCAAGCCATTTTTGAACTTTTAACTGAAAATGAACAAAAAGTAAATATGTATGGCTTCTCAGTTCAACAACTAATGACACTCCCAAAACAATGTCTTAGTTGTTCAGTCTTTGCGGTGCTCGCGTAATCACTTCACACAGCTCAGGGGTCTAGCCATGGTTTAACGTTTGGCACGTAGTCTTGCCATTGCTTTTATGTATAAGGTGAAAGCTCCAGTTCTTGCTCACCGTCCATTGCTCTACTGCCGGTATATAGACGACTGCTTCGTTGTCTGTTTCACACAAGAGGAAATGGACAAGTGTTTTGAAGTCTTGAACGGACAGTCAGAGCATATAATACGCGAGAGAGTCCAAACGGGAGCTGGCCTCCATTCTTAAACATCCAAGTAAAGCTTTTAGATAGTGGGTATAGTACAAAATGGTGCCGAAAACTAAGAAATAAAAACATTTTGGTCAATCATCTTTCCTCTCATCCTTTAAACTTGAAAAAAATCGTTAATTAAAAACATGTTTCGAACGGCTAAAAATGTGTGCACAGGAGAAGAGGAAAGGAACGAATCGCCAAACTTGGCACGAAAACTGCCATTTCCAACGGCTAAAAACATTCGCTACTTGAAAATATTCAAAAAGTGGAATTAGGTCCCGAAAGAACAAAACTCCGCACCTGACTAAAGTTCCCTTCAAACTGCCATTTATATCAAACGAAATTAGTAGCGTGGTCAAAAAGTGCCTAAAAAGATGCGGTCTTGAAAATTCCGTGGTAGTTATCGAAATCCCACCTTCCACCCTACGCTATAGCTGATCCGCAATAGACTTTAAGATCGATTGTGCAACACTAAAATCTGTATGATCTGCCCTAACGGAAAAGAGGGGGATTGTATGAGATCGCGCACAATTTATATGCTAACATGTAAAACATACGGGGAAGAATATAAAGGCGAGGCGGGTAGATCACTTTTCATCCGCATGAAAGAACGTCTAGATAGTAAATCTAAAGTGGATAAAACCAAACCTCCAGGTTTGCATAGGGCACGAAAGCACAACAACAAGAATATTGATGTGACTGTCACAATCCTAGCGCAGGAATCAAAAACATTCATGCCCAAAACTCTTGAGGCATTTTGCATGGATCCTAGAAACCTCAAAATGAACCAGAAGGACGAATGCGTCACCATCACACGAGTCCTCGCGCCTTTTCTTCGTTTGACCTTTCAACCTGACCTAGGCGGTATATGAAAGAATCTCTGAATTATTCAAATACTCTAATATCACGACCTTCAGGCTCTGAAGAAGTTAGATCGCCGAAACGTCAGTAGAGCTATTAGTACTACTACTCTATTATGCAAAAATAAACGCTCAATTATTACTTCTTTACTACTTCTTGAATAAATACTGTAATTGAATAGATTGTGTTGAGGTGTTTAGATATGAGATATGCTGTGTAGTGATATTGTGCATACTGAACTGGAGCAAAAATAGACTGTTGAAGAGCGCCATAAGAAGATTAAGCCAACAACCTTTTTTCCGAAATCCGGCATCACTAAGCATTTAGCACAATGATCTGCTCACAGCACGCTGGGCAGGGTAGGGTTGGCGCCGTGATCCTCTCGTACCCAAAGCAAATAAAATAATTGAGCAGCCTAATAGCTAATTCCCCACAACGATGCTGTCGACAATTAATGTTTCTTTGCTTTGAGGTGAGATCGGATTAATGTGCTATTTTTGAATCATTAAAAATGAATACGTCCTTGTCATACCTTCCGTTTCAAGTGTTTTCTTAAGACCAAGCTCAAATTTCAGCATATCTCATGATTATTATTCGAGCCAACATAACATGTGGTCTGTTATAGGGTAAGCTTATGACATATTGACGATACCAGCCAAGAGCAGTCAAGTATACAACACTGCTCATTCAGTGATAATTTCAGTTGACAGACGATTAAAATGTTTGGCGTCGCCTAATCACAGTACAAGGAACTGAGCGCCCCGAGAAGATTGGCAAAAGACGAGGCGTACCGTCCTACTGACGAGACTGTCAAGGTTAAAACACGTCTATCGGGCTCTATAAGTTAGCCCATTTAACAGACTACATGACATGTTGACTTAAATAATAATTATGAGATACGTCTCGAACGCTTCAAACACGGTCGATCGCACGTGTTATTGTTATGCCCAACGTGCTACCAGCGCGTTTTGAATCTGTTTTGAGATGGCATCATGCTCAAAGTGTATTCAAGTTGATCAGCCGTTCCTTGACCTTTTCATTGAAAAGATCAAACGTGCGAATCTGTGAGCCATTTTAACATAGACTTCCCTTGCTTTCGTGGTTGTCTTCCCAGGAGACTGTCTTTTCAAAAAAATGCTAATGGCGTCACCAAGTAGCCCGCAGTAAACCATAAATTCTTTGATTATATGAACATTTGGTTGACATGAATTACGTAGGTAGCCGCTTCTGTTAAAACATACGTGCCCTGCCATGCACCATATTAGTGTTTCAGTTCTCGACCGTCTGTTGTCGAATCTCTTGCCGCATGACTGACGCCACTCCACAGCTTCCTGTACTTGAGTCATAGAGACAATTTCTCAAATCCTTTCTCTGAAAATGGGTATCAGAGTATAGTTTCAAGCAGCATCATAGTTCATAAGTTCTTATCAACTCCACTAGCATAAGAGAGAAGATCGTTCTGTCATAGTCCACTGTCTATGGAAGTAATACGCATGGTCGATTAAGAAGTTAGAGTTTCCTGTTGATGTTGCGTATAATAGTCAGCTGTGGCCGTTATGAACTGTGGAACCAGTTTTCTGTCGACGACGGCTTGTGGAATGGTAGTCATTTTTCCGCAGTTGGTCGTATTGGCAGGATTTTATTTTCTTGGCACAAATCTCGCAGCACCATCGTCGCCACACGCGAAAAGAAAGTTTTTGTTATCATATTTGATCGAAGAAAAAGAAGATCAGATTTGTTGATTAAAGCGTAACGCATTTCAAAAAGAATCTACTTTCTAAATTTTTCCAATATCATCTCGCAGCCATTCTCATACTTGCTGACCACCTAATTACTACGTTAAGGAGAAAGTTACTTAACACTTTCGAGATAATCAAATTTTGTGCTTATTTCATACAATATCGGGCAACATAAATTCATGGAAATATGTCAGCATGATTTCCATAATAAGCTCCCACCTAGTCAATCACGATCGGAGCAAATGTTGGGTATTAATGGTCAAGTTCGGCCATCTTGCAAGCCAAAACTGGTTTGGCCAAAAGGCTATGATCTGCGCTTGCTAGGGCCTCTTGCATTTCGAGCTTGTTCCGAAATGTTGCTCCATCAATGTCGAACTCTATTGCGAGCAGCGGGGTCTGAGTCTACGATGCGTTGAAGGAATTGTACCCGACACTGACTCATCGAAAGCGCGCCGTTTCCTCAGGACATTGCCAAACCTCACACCGCAAAAAAGACTAAGGAAAACTTTGATCGGTTGGAGGGAGTCGAGGTCTTTCCGCATTTGGCCTACAGTCCAGGTAATACGGCGTGTCAAATTATGGTCTTCTCCGCTCAATGGAACATTTCCTGCTTGGACGCCGATTAAAGATATTTGATCAAATTGATGAGATATGTCAGGTCGGACTTTTCTGATTCAAAGTTCAAAGAATGACGATTTCGAGAAGATGCGGAAGCTTGTAGATCGTTGGCAGAAGATCGTGGATAATGATGGTAATTTGAAGAACAATTACTGCTGGTTTAGATAGAGCTTATGAATAGATTTCGAGTTTCCAGAGAGTGTTGAGGAAATTTTTCCCTCAGCTAGTGCCACTTACACCATTAGGGCACAAAACACGATTTTTTCAACGTGAAGTTATTCTGAGCGCATAGATTCTATCAACTGATACACAATTATAATTTTTTCTGAGATCACAAATACCGCGAGGTGATGTGGACAAGCTTGTTATGAAAGGCTTGCTCTATCTAGCTAGATTTGATAAAAATAAATA